CCCAGGCCCTGGAGGGAGAGAGGAGAGACTTCTTCCGACCGACCTCAGAGTGCGCCCCTGTGCTTTGGCCTGGGCAGGACAGATGCTGTAGCCCCCCTGGGGAGGAGTCAAAGGGGAGCCCAGGGCCAGTTGCTGGGGAGGGCACTCAGGAACCCAGCTCTGCCTCCTGCCCCATCCCACCCCCCTGTCTCTGGGAAGCCACCCCGGGAAGCCCCCACCTTGGAGAAGCAGAAAGACACAGAATCGCAGTGCTCCACGATGCAGGCAGGCGGCACACGCAGGGCCACCGCCGCGTTCATCAGCTGGGCCCCGTCCAGGTGGACCCGGGCCCCGTAGGTCCAGGCCAGGAGGTGCACCTGGAGATGGGTGCAGCAGAGTCAGAGGGCCCAGGCCTGAGGGAGGCCAGGTCTCCTGGAGGCCCGTGGGCTTGGCTGCTTGAGGAAGCAGAGAGGTCTGGAGTCAGGAGACCCAGTTTGGTAACTGGCTCTGGCTGTCTGCGACCCGAGCAGTCCCGTTGTGCTCCTGAACCTCGGTGCTGTGCCCGCACAAGGAGCTGATGGTATTTCGCTCTGGTTTATGGGCTAAGGACATATGCGTCTCATCTCATTTATCATCAGGGAGACACAATTGCGCCTATTTCACAGCAGAGGGACACAAGATCTAGCATTAGGGCTCGCCCGAGCTCTTCCACTGGTGAGCAGCCAGGCTCAGATACTGCAGGCTCCTCGCCTGGCGGCTTGTGTCAAGGACGGGGTGGGAGCTGAGTACTGAGCTCACTTGTGTTTGTTCCTAAAGCCTCGCCCGAGCCTCGAATCCAGGACTGGCAACAGTCCCTGGCACTGCTCTGGAACTCTGCTCTTGAGCGAGTCCAGGATGAGGAGCCCTCAACGGGGCAACAGTGCCCTCTGCGTGCCAGCCTAGGACCACACATGCCTTCATGACAGTTCTGGTCACTGATGGGTGTCCCTGGCAGGGAGCACAGGGGACTAAATCCCAGGATAGGAGTCAGGGGACACAGGAAGCCACGAGCAGGCTGGTGGTGGGGGCGCGAAGGCGGGGCCAGGCCTACCTGGCATAGGTAGTCGATGGGGAGGACGCGGCCCCCCGAGTTGCTGTGCGTGTTCTCCAGGCAAATGGACTCGCAGGCCGGGTGGTAGGGGCTCCCGAGGCCCCGAGTGATCAACCTCTCCAGCTCAGCCAGGTCCAGGGTGCCGTGGGGCAGGTCTGGGAGGGGCTGGGAGTGCACCCCGGCGATCTACAGGTGGGGGGGAGGGGACGGAAGATGAGGCTGGTCCGAGGGCCCAGCGGCACGTCTTTGTGGAGTGGGGATCTGCTTGGAGTAAGGAGCCAGATCCCCGAGTCCGGTGCCTGCTCCCCAGCTCTGGGCCTGGACGCCTTCTGCTTGCTCTGCACACCTGGACACAGACACCACAGCTGAGGGGAGGTGGCCCCTTGCCTTCTCTGGAGGTGTTGCTGTCCGGCTCCCACCCTGAGTGCTGGAGCGCTCTAGGTGCCCACTAGGGGGCAGCAGGACACCGAGCACCCGCCCAGGTGTCAACCCAGTGTCCCTGGGCCTAGCCTCAGCCGCTGCTGCCCCCAAGTGGCATTTCTGGGACCCAGCTCTTCCCACCCCTCGGGGAGGGGCCCCGTCCCAGGCGGCTTCCCTGTGGCTCTCCCTTTATTCCCTGGGCAGGTCCCAGCCTGGTGCCTGGGATGCAGGCTCCCACCTGAGTACCCTGCGCTGGCCGGAGGACGCCCAGAGCCCCAGGGGAGCAGTGCCGGTTCCTTACCTGAGCCACCCCACCCTGCTCATAGACGTGGAGGTGGCACTCCTGCCCAAGGAGGAGTTGGGAGCCCCGGCGCCGGCAGTGGCCCATCACTGAGACAGATGGGGAGAAGGGCAGGTCTTGGCACTGAGTCTGGGGGCCATGTGCCCCTGCTCAGCTCGTGAGCCCCAGGGCGACACCCAGCTCACGTGTGCCTTAGGCCAGCTAGGAGACAGCGCCCCTCGAGATGCCTCCCTGCCTTGTGCGAAGATCTAGGACAGCAATGCTGTGAATTGCTGGGCCTACACAGCCTGCACACCGTGCTCTGTGGCTGGACCCCAGGGTTTCTCCTGCCACCATGCTGCCCCTTGGGGGACAAGCAGCCCATGGCACCAGCTTCCATCAGGCCCGCTGGAAACAGATGGCACAAACACCCTGGGGAGCTGTGAGAGTGCTTAATGAAGGGACCGTTTACAAAGGTGAAGCAGCTGGAGGGACAGGCCTGAGAGGTGACAGGAAGGTGTGGTCACAGGAGCTCGGAGGCAGGTTGTGTGGGGAGCACCCAGCGCTGGCCCAGAGACCCTGGGGACCCTCAGAGGAAGAGCTGGAAGGCACACAGATGCACGGATCTCAGTCTGCTCCCTTCCCCGGTCTCCTGCCAGGGCTCCCACTGCCAAACCCAACAGAAATCTGGGAATGTGGTCTCTGCGCCCCATACAGCCCTCACACGGAGGGGCGAAGTGTGCACGAGGACCTGTTGGGCAAAGGAAGTCGCCTGTGCTTACCAGCGATGAGGTTGGCCATGGTGTTGCTGGGCACAAGCAGAGTCCGCTCCAGCCCAAGCAGCTCTGCAGCAGCTCTGAGGAGGGGAGGGTGGGAAGGGAGGTGGGCAGAGGCTCTGTCAACAAGTATGCTCGCCCAGAGCTCCCACAGGTGGGCTGCACGCTGGCCACACACAGGCACTGTTCACTCTCCTTGCATTACTCACTACAAGGCCAGAACCGCCGTGAGCCCAGAAGATGGCCCCTTGCCTGGGGCTGTGGTGATGGCCAAACGGGGTTGGAGCCCCAGTCTGCCACCTGCACGGTCTGTGGGCTTGGAGCCCCAGTCTGCTGGCTGCACATCCGGCTCCAGAGGTTTCTCAGTCAACTCTCTGCACCCCACTTCTCCTGGTCTCCCCCTTGCCCCCAAGAAACGCTTGTGGTTTGAACCCCCTCCCACTCAGACCTCACACCTGTCTCACTTCCTTTCCCATCAGCCCCTTGCAGGTGGGGACTGCGGTTTCTCTGCCGACTTCCTCTCCCTTCAGGAAGGGAGACTGGGGAGAGCCAGAGGGGGCACAAGGGTGCAAATGGGGCTCCTGGCTTCTGTTTTTTTTTTTTTTTTTGAGTTGGAGTCTCACTCTGTCACCCAGACTGGAGTGCAGTGGCCGCTCCCGGCCACCGCAACCTCGACCTGCTGGGCTCCGGTGATCCTTCCGCCTCAGCCTTCCAAGTAGCTGAAACTACAGGTGCACGCTACACACCCGGCTAATTTTTTGATGTATTGTAGAGACGAGGTCTCGCCAAGTTGCACAGGTGGGTCTTGAACCCGTGGGCTCAGGCCATCCACTCTCCTCGGCCTCCCAAAGTGCTGGAATTACAGGCTGAGCCACCGAGCCCAGGCGGCTCCTGCTTTAAAGCCCATCATGGCTCCCCCGTGACTGTGGCATCAAGTCCAAAGCTCTTAGCGTGACATTCAAGGTTGGTGTGATCTTGTCTCTGCTTTCCCTCCAGGGACACAAGTGCCCCCCTGCACCCTACCCTCTAGCCACACCCCTACCTGTACTCTGAATATCTTTCTCACCAGTAGGTGTTTGTGCTCCTGAAGCTTCCCCTGCCCAGGAGTCAGCACTCCCCTCCCTGTCTGTGGGGTTCCACTCCTCCTTAGGGAGGCTCCTCTGCGAAGCCCCCTTCCCTGTGAGCCACAGGCCTCCCCCTTGCCCTGGCTCCCAGGGCACCCTCCATAGATGTCTGTCAAAGTGAGCCCCTCCCCTGCCTGCATGGTGGTGACTTGTTTACACATTTGGCTGCCTGCCGAGCACTGTGTGTCTGAAGTTCCCGGCAATACTGGGTGTCTGCTGGGTGTGTGCCCAGCCCCAAGCACCCCTTAAACCCACAGACAGGCCCTCGGGATTCAAGTGGCGACCTATGGCCAGTCCCTGGCTCAGCTGAGGGTTGCACACACCCTAGCAGTAACAGTGGTTCTCTATGGCAGCAACTCTCAAATCAGGGTGGGGGTGTGGGGTATTATACCTTGGAGATACCCCTTAGGTTATTGGAACCCACGCCTTGGGAGGTGCAGCCTGTGGAGAACCCCCTTTCTAGATCGGTTTTCTGTTTGCCTTCATGGGGGAAGGCAGTGGGTGCAGGAGAAGAGTTGTGGGTTTTAGAGTCAGAAGACCTGGGTTCAAACCCTGGTTCTGCCATCTACTAGGTATGGGTCCTTGAGCACAGCACTCAGAACCCTCCTCTGCAAGACTTGCTAACACCCATCTCAAGGCGCAGCTGGTGACAATGCAAGGTGCACACAAGCCACCTGATGATCCTGTTAAAATGCAGATTCTGGGTTCGGTGTGGAACCCAAGAATGTGCATTTCTAGCAGGTTCCCAGGTGATGGACCAGACTGAGCCGCAATCAGGCAGAGCACAATGTCTAGCCCTTGGCTGGTGCTCATCCAACGCCAACTGCGACGCCACCCCCTACGTCCGGGCCGTCCCTCCCGCCAGCACCACGGACAGCGCCCCGGGGTCGCCTCCACGACCCTCGCCGCCGGGCTCACCGCGGACGGTGGGGTCCTCGCCATCGTCGTCGTCCCCCGCGGCCGCCTCGGCCATGGCATGCCTCAGGGCTGGCCCAGGCCTGGGCACCGTGTCGCTGCGCAGGTCCACCACGTGGGCCGGGACCTCCGCCCGGCTACCAGAGCCCCGCGCCCAGAGGACTCCGTGCGCCGGGGCCGCAGCCCGGACCAGTCCGCGTAGCATGGCGCGGGCAGCGCCCGTCTCCCCACCCTGGTGGTTGCTGCTGCCCCCTCTTGTCTCCAGCGAAGGCGGCCGGGAGCGGTAGGGTTGGCGCCGTCGGACTCCCCAGGCTTAGGTCGCCGCGGACCTGGGCCCGGAGGGCCCCGCGGCACGCTGGGAGTTGTAGTTCGCGCCGCGTCGTGACGGGCATACGCGAGTTCGGGCGGAAGGGCCCCGCTGCATGCTGGGAGTTGTAGTTCGCGATGCGCGGTAGCGGGGATACGCGGGCTCGGGCGGAAGGACCCCGCGGCACGCTGGGAGTCGTAGTTCGCGCTGCGTCGCTACGAAGACCGCGCGAACCCGGGATGCTGGAGCAGGAGGGTTCTCTTAGTGAAGGCGAGACAAAGGCTGCGAGGGCTTTTATAGAACAGATGTCCATGTGGCTTTTACCGTTTACCAGGCACTGCCAGAGGCACTTTACAAATGTCCACGCAGTTAAGCCTACCTACAGCTCTAGTAGACAAGTACTGTATTATTCCTATTTTACAGAAGGGGAAACACGCTAGAAGCTAAGGTCGCTTGGGTGGGAATTGGTCGAGGCGGAACCGCCTCCAGTCCAGCTCTGAATCACTGTGTTACGCTGCCCTTCTGTAAAGTAGCTTCCTCCCTGGTGGTCTAGTGGTTGGGGCTGGGGCAGGGGAGAGTATCTTACCATCACTTACTTTTTTCAGTGTGAGTCTGTTGAGCCCCTGCTGTGTGCCAGGCATTATGCAGGTGCCAGGCAGGGGGACACAGAGGTGGCTGCAACTAGGTCCAAGCATACGGCCTCATGGGGCATAACGGGAGGCAGAGTTAAAGGGGTGCGTCGATAGCTCCTCATCCGTACATCCCTGCCCTTGGGTGGGCTGCCTCCATGGAGGCAGAGTAGTGGTTAAGGGCACCGACTGCATTTGAAGTTGAAGTCCCCATTTACCAGCTGTGTAACCTTGCATGAACCACATAGCCTCTATATGCCTCAGCTTCTTCAACTGGGCTGTTGTGAAGATTCAGTGACTGGATGTGTGTGAGCGGTCACCCTGCTGTGGCTGTGATTGACATTGTTGTTATCGGTCCCTGAGGTTCCTGGGGCTTGTGGGGTCACTTCAACTTAGCCCAGGCTATGGGGTGACCCTCCCTCACACAGGGAGGACAGGCACCCAGCTCCACTCAGTGGCTTCTCTTCCAGAAGCACAGACCACAGGTGTCATGGGAGAAAGTTGGCCCAGGAGGGGCCACAGCTGACTAGAGGCCACAGCATCTGTGATGGCACACCTCAGGGTGTTCACGCTGCATCAGACATTGCCCAGCATTTACCACGTGGCAACTCCAGCTTCGGCCTGGGGACTTAGGGAGAGCAGATGCGGCCTGCCCTCCGGAGCTCAGGCCCAAGGGCTAGGGGACAAGATGCTGCCCGCCAGAGAGTCTCAGGGAGGGGGCAGCCAAAACAAGCTTGCTTGGTCCAGGCAGCAGGGCAGGCTTCCTGGAGGAAGCAGGGATTAGTTTGAACTTTGAAGACACAGCAGGCCTTGGGCAGAGGGAACAGCACAGGCCAAGGATCTGAGTAGGGGGAGCTGGTGCATTTGAGGCCCTAAAGGCCAGCAGAGGGGTGGCCTCTTGGGGACTCTCCATCTCTTCCCCTTCTGCCCAGCAGGGCCATCTTGAAAGAGTGGAAATCTCAAGTCCCCACAGGGTCTGTGGCCCCGAGAACTCCCATCTGCTGGAAAGGCTCGCAGCCCTCCCCCATCCCAGGGCCCAGCAATCTCCACCAAATTCCCGGCCTTAGAAAACAAGACCCTTATCTCCTTGCCTGGCTCTAGCCCTTCTGCTGGGAAGTGGGGGGCGGGGAGCAGAGGCCTCCGTGGAAAGGAAGGGAGGTGGATGGGCTGACGGGCGGGGGTGGAAGCAGAGATGGCAGCTGTTGGGGGCAGGGAGCAGGGGGCAAACAGATGGGCAGCATCATAGAATGGCCTCCCGTTTCCAAAGCTTCCTTCCACAGCCCCCCTGTCAATCCTCACAGCAGCCTTGCGGGAAGAGGACGGCAGGGAGGTTAGGGTAATCCAAGGCCCGAGGACCCCACCCAGGAAACACAGCTAGTCACCAAACTGGACCTTTCTTTCTCCAAAGCAGAGCTGTCTTCCCAGAGAGATGGCTTCTCTCTGGGGGAAAGTGTGGGCAGAAATCTCTTTCTGCTGGGTCCTACCTAGTCTCCAGGCCTCCTGGGCCAGCCCTGACTTGTGCCCATGGGGTCTGGCAATGAGGAGGGGGCAGGAAGGGTAGGCTTTCACAGGGAAGGGTGTGTGATGAGGCATGTGCAGAGGAAGACTCTCTGACCAAGGCTTGGTCCCCGGGGGCGGGGGCTTGTCTGGGCTCATCCACGTGGGCATGTGTGTATGTGTGTGTGTTTGTGTGTGTGCATGTGTGTGTCTCTGGCTGCATCTGGGGTCTGAGTTGTCCTGCTGGTAACTGGGGACAGGCCATGGCCCCTAGGCTGGCCAAAGTAAGAAGCCCAAAGCCCCGTGTGGAGCCAACTCTGCTAGCCCTCTCTCCCTCCCCGAGGTGGTTGCTCTGAGTCTTCTCAAGAGGAGAGTTGCCATCACTGGAGGTCATGGGGCCATCTGCCCCCACACAGGCCTGCTTTACCCCATGTACCAGCTGTTCTCTTCTCTTCCGATCCTGTCCTTGGCCAGGCCACCTTGGGCTCCTGTCTGGGCCTGGCAGGTTCTCTGGCCTCTGGGATTGGCCCCTGTAGCCCAGGCTCGCTTCCAAATTTCTAAGCTCCAGGTCTGGGTGCCTTGGGGCCTGTTGGTGAAACTTCCTCCGGGGCTCTGTGGGATCCAGTCCCTCCTTCCTCCCAGCCACCTCCCCCTCCAGCTCAGTTGCGACACTTGTGCTCCCAAATGTGCTGCCCTCTCTGTCACCCCCAGATCTCTGCACCTGTGTTCCTTCTGCCCGGAAATCTCCTCAACCACCACCACACATCCATAGTCTCCACCTGCTCAGTCTACAGGTCTCAGCTGAGCTGCCTCAACCTCCAGGAAGCCCCCGTGGCACAGCCCGGCAGGGGAGGGAGGTGGCCTCCTTCTGGAGTGCCTGAAGCTCCTTTTCTTCCCACTGTCCTAGGGTCATAACTGCGTGTTCACTCCTGTGACATCTCCGACTGATGGATACTCTACATGCAGGGGCTGGACGCCCCGTCTTTTGGTGTGTCCTTTGTTCCTAGCCCAGCGCCTGGCCCATAGGGCCTGGTGAATACCAGCTGGATGACTGACGAGGGAGGAACATGTGATCCAATATCCCCTGACTCTGGGACCCCAGGCAGCATGGGGGTATCATGTGAGACTCCCTATGCAGGAGGACACAGGGTCCTGCCCAGGGTTTCAGGAGAACAGTCATGGGTCCTGCCTTGGCCCCTCAGAATCAAGTCTAGGGGTTCTCACAATAGCCCCTCCCTGGCCTTCTTGAACGGTATATTTGCCGCTCAACAGAGCAATGGAAGAACACTGGCAGACTTGAGCAGGCTGGTGACAAGAGCCCTGGTGGGCTCCCTGGCACTCACCCAGGAGCAGGCTCTGGGGTGTGGGTGCGCACACACACACACAAGAACACACACACACACACACACACATACACACACTCACACGCTGAGTTCAGTGTGCGGATTCCTGTAACGCAGGCCGCTGGCAGGAAGTGCGCGCGGGGAGGCTGCTGCTGGGAACCCAGGGCTGGCCCCGCTGAGATAAAGGGAGGCAGCAGATCGGAGCTGGAGATAGCGGGGCCTGTAAACAGGTCAGGGGAAATGTCCTTTCCATCCCATGCCCTTGGCCTCAAGCCCGCAGGACCTATAGCGCCCTGGCCTGGGCACAGCCCCGGTAGCCTGGGAATGGGCAGAACTGTTTGCACCATCACCATTCCTTGCAGACGGGCGGGTGGCAAAGGGTGGGGTGCAGGCCTGGGGTTCTGCACCTAGCCCATGTGTGTGCTGGAAGGGGGAGGTGAATCCAAGCCCCCGTGCTTCCCCCATTGGGATCTCTCCAACCCAACCCTCACTCAGGAAAACATGCCGCATCTCCAGGCAGCACCAGAGGGCTCACCTTCAGAACCTTCTCGGGAAATCAGAGACCAGGAAAGAATGGGGGCTGTACCCCAGCCGGGAGCGGGGTAGGCGAGCTCTCCAGACTGACTGCGGTGGGTTTGAGGGAACAGGAGCTGGGAGACCCGTGCTACCCAGGTCAAGGGGACATTACAGGATGCTCATTCACACTCCATCAGCTTTCATGGTCCATCCCCAGTGTCCAGCACAGTGGGCGCTCAAACACACTTGTTTTAAAAAAGAGACTGGGCTCAGTGGCTCAGCCTGTAATCCCAGCACTTTGGGAGGCCGAGGCGAGTGGGTTGCCTGGGCCTGCTAGTTTGAGACCAGCCCAGGTAGTTTGGTGAGACTTTGTCTCTATAATAAATCAAAAATTAGCTGAGTATGCCTGTAGTTCCAGCTACTTGGAAGGCTGAGGTGGAAGGATCACCGGAGCCCAGCAGGTCAAGGATGGAGTGGCCGTGAGCAGGCCACTGCACTCCAGTCTGGATAATAGAGTGAGACTCCAACTCAAAAATAAACAAATACATAAATAAATTAAATTTTAAAAAATAAAATAAGAAATACATCATTCATACAGACAAGTGCATGAAGTACATTGGTATAGTGTTACAAATAAATGCATATAAAAAACTCCCACATCATGGCTTCTCCTGTCAAGAAACAGATAATGGCCAGGATTCCAGAAACTTCTTTCCCATTCACAAGCCCTCCCTCTGCCAGAAGTTACTGCTGCCTTGAATTTTATGACCATGGTTTGCTTTTCTTGATGGTTTTGCCGCCATGGATGTATCCTTCCGTAACAGTTGAGCGTGGACCGCATCTGAACTTTAAGGAGGTGGAATCGGCATGTCCCTTGCTACATCTGGCTTCTTTTGGTGGTGTTATGTTGGCA